TTTGCATTTAGCTTCTATACCTAACCCCAGCCAGCTGGAGCTTCTGCTCGCTGGAGCCCGTTCTCCAGCAGGATTCTCGCCTCTGCCTTCTCCCCCCACTCTAGTTGGCTCAATCCCATGAGGGTTCCTGCCATCTCCATCTGTGGTTACAAAACCACAGAGGTATTAACCACACAATCATACACAGTACCATTTCTTTTGCCTTTTCCGGGCCGATTCTCCAATCATGAACCTTCTAGCTGCAAGGCAACAGTACTACACACTGCAACACCCTGAATCCTTGAATTAATATCATTTACATAAGTAAAAGTAAATGCACCCTAAAGTACCACTCCTAAATGTCATTTTTCTTCTAAAGTTACCTAAAATGTAATGGATTAATTGTAGCTATTTAATACCCATTTCTGCTTATAACCTAAAAACCAAAACTTCCTTAATAATTCCTGAATCATCCATTTAACCTGCTAATTTTTTGGCATCTGTGTAAATGCAATGCAATGTTGAGGCCTTCAGGCAGCAGCTATGCAGGAAGTCAGTCAGCAGTGACAAGAGAGGCCTTTAAGATTGAAGATCAGGAAACAACCTGATGGGAATCTGGACACAGAAACTACAGAATCAGCAGTTGTGTGTGAAAGTGTGTGGTGGAGGCATCCATCTTGAAATTCCCAAAGGAAAAGGTTTATTTCAGCCAGCAGTGGGAAATAAAGGTAATGTTAGAAGCCCACATTAAAGTGACCTGAATGAAAGATCATGGGGAGAGAATTACAAGCAGCCAACATGGTTCACACAGCCTCACTTACTGTTTTCCAATACTTAGTGTGAACAAATTGATGTAGTATTTGAAGCCTCAGCAAAACAATAACAGTAATACAAAGGAAAAGGCTACTGGTGTAATGAGGTAAAGGAAAGCAGGAGGGCTCATTTCATTTGAAACTGTGTTTTAAACCAGAACAGGCTGCACTGTGTGTCACATGTCTTTCTCCACACGTATAGGGAGAGGAATAAAAACCAACCAATGGAAGCTAGGTGGGTTATCTCATAACAAGCTGGAATCTGTTCAACAAGTATGATTCCAATCAGTTTTAATTTTAATCTTTTGTAAATAGCAATTGTGAGCAAAGGTTTTAGAAACTGCTCCAATATCTAAGCAGAGCAGATGAACTGATCTGAAAGGCAGTTAAACACTGAAACATCTAACCTTTGATTTGGGTTTGAAGGGTTCTGCATGGAAAACAAATAAACCCTGTGATACACTGAATGATTGCGAGGGGGAAAAATAAGAGCTTCTACAGCAAAGACAAATAAAAACACACTGTTGTGTCTGTAAAGTAGGGTGACCAAACGTCCGTATTTCCCGGGACATATCCGTATTTCACGTCCTGTCCTGGGCGTCCCGGTTTTTTTTTTAGAAAGTGAGGAAATTTCCTGATTTTTTTAAATTACCTTAATTGGACCATTAAATTTACAGGCACTAGGGCACTGCGCACGACGCTGCGTGTGACATAATCCCTGAGTCAGTGCGGGCAGCCCTGTTCTTAAACAGAAGATAGATAGACAAACGGGAGGCCTTGTGCACATATGTCTCGGTGTCCAATGGAGGTGCAAGGGATCTTAAAAGCCACCTGGACACCGAGAGTAAAGACAGTCTATTGATATGTTTGTTCGTTTTTGGTACATTTTGAGTTATTTTTGCTACACAAGAGGTATTTTTTGTTAATTAGCTGATTTGTTAATTTATTTTTTCCAATAGCCTACAGAACAGACATTATTTCGTTCATTGCTGAGGCTGAGTATCATCTGTTATTGGGAGTTGAGAGTTATTGTTAATTTTTATTGTTAAGTGAGGGATGTTTAGATGAGACATTATTTCTTTCATTGTGCTTTTCATTCATTACAGGAATTGTTAAGCATTTTTAATAAATGCATTTTGAATGAAATTATCGTTTGTTATTGGAGTTATTGCTGTTGACTTTTACTGAAAAGCACTTATTAATAAATCAACTGTAGATATGTTATTACCCCCCCCCCCCCCCCCAGGTGTCCTGGTTTTCCCAAATGAAAATATGGGAAAATATGTAAAGGGCCTTGTGAATTGGCGCTATATAGATAAACTGAATTTAAAAAACACAATGTTCCTAACAGAGCACTTTGCTCTCAATCTGCTGGTTTACTAGTGGTTTCTAGAATTTCTAAAAGTAGAATGGGAGGCAGATTTTTTACAGGCTACCAGTTTTAGTGTATGAGGCAGACGCCTTCTTTACTAGGCTTAAAACTTCAGTTTTTGATAGTTTATAGTTAAAAACCAAGTGATGTTTGCACAGCTGTGGGTGAGTCAAGAAGGAGGAGGTAAATATTAATAGTTATGCTGCTATAGGCTTAGACTGCTGGAGGACATAGGGACCCCTTCTCATCTTTCTATCTCTATTCTCTGACCCGTAACTTTATGTTCTCTCTTTTTCTCATCATAGTAGCTTCATCTAGTCTCTTCGTGTTTGGCTTTTTTCCCCATCCTGGATGGAAACATTAGCTTGGCTGCTGCCAACTACACCACTGATTACAGATAATGGAGTTTGGCTTGTTTTCCAGTGTTTAGTCAGTTTTTACTGTGACCAACTGGATCTGTTCTCTTTCATCCCTTTTGACATAAAAACATGCTCAGAGCTAACCAACTATGGTGCTAGTTTAGCATTTCTAATATAGAAAGCATTCATGTATCAGGGCTCCTACAGTATATTCCCTTTGATAGGTCTGCTTTTGTCTCTTTGAACCCCCAGTGGACCTCTGCAGGCTCACACTGATCCTGGTTATGCTGGAGGTTTTTTTTCGTATTAAAAGGTAGTTTTTCCTCTCCACTGTTACTTCATGCGTGGTCGGTGTTAGGGATTGCTGTAGAGTCAACGACAATCCAGGAGGAGCATGTCCTTATTGTCCCTGCAAAGTGCCTCGAGATGACGTGTTGTGAATTGGCGCTAAATTAATAAACTCAATTGAAGTTAATTTTTTTGGGACTGAAAAACCTTTTTCCAGTTATATTCACCTGAAAAACTAAGACATATAAGTAGTTAACCAGACTTCCCATCCCTGAAAGAAAAAGATATCTACTATTTTCTATGTGTTTTTGTTGAGCAGTGACTGCTGATGGAGAGGAGTCTGTATGAATGGTCAGAGCCTCAGATCAAATGCAACATGCTTTTAAAAAAACTACTGGATATGTATTTGATTTAGTGCTGCCTATAGAAGTCGAAAAATTGTTTTTTTGGGGTTAAAAAGAAAAGTCATTCTGACTACCATGAAAAAGCTGCATATGAGTGGGATATGTGGAAGAAAAATCATATTTGTTGCGTTTCCTGCAGTGTGATCGCAGCCTGTCTGAGCATAAGATGGTAAAATTTAACATTCTAAGCTACAATTATAGGATTTAGAGTTTGGCAAAACTTCACAGCAGAACATAAAGGATTAAGTTGACGTCCTAAACTCCAAAGTTTGCTGAAGTTTGTCACCTTAAAATTGACCCTTTTTTTCCCAGTGCGTGATTTGAAAAATCTGTTTTTTTTGTTTTTTTTTTACATTCCTTTCAACTTACAAAGATGTGACAGAATTCTTTCAAACTTTACTTTTGTAATCTTGTATTTTTTTTTTTTTTTTGATGGATGATGTCAAACTTTAATCCTGAAAGGTTTAAAGACAGATCAGACACACGGACATTACAAGAAAACCAGTCAGACAAATTTTAAAGGGGGTAAATGCACCCATGCCATCGGACTCAAAGTCTTTAATAACCAAAAAGTTCTTCATACAAAAGTATATGTACATAGTCAACTGTTTAACTGTATAGCAGTTTATGGAAATGATCTAACATTGTTCCCCTTCCAGCACCTCCTCCCCCCCAACAGGATGTGAAACACTTTACGGTCTGAATGAGGCGAGTCCATCGTCAGCGTGGCAGAGTATTCAGAGGGACAGTCCAAGTCTGGCTCCCTACTTTGGATATCAGTCTAGGAATCAACAATATTCATGAGCAACATTCAATATTATCAGGAAATAAAAACTATGCGTCGGGTTTCATTTTACATACATCTGTAGAGACATAAATAAAGCATTAGTTGAATACCAGTGCAGCAAAGCATTCAGAACAGGGAGACGAGACTTAATCAGACAGCAGGATTTGTTTCTGACAGTTAGACGGGAGCCTGAGTGGGACATTCCAGAATACAGAGTTACATTTGATCCACTGAGTAAACAGAATTATATTCTTTAGAATCCATACAATTAAGAAAAAAAAAGGAATAGACACGAAGGTGGATGAAGGAAATAATCGATTGCACCGTTTCCCTGCCATTAGCTGTGAGGTCCGACCCGCCACCTGTGAACTTTGTGTTAAAACCTGAAGGATAAGTTGAGTGTGTGCAGAATGGGCCTCCTGCTTCCTCCTCACTTTGCTGTGATCAAAGCTCATTGGTGGAGCGCTCTAGCCGTGTACGTGTGACAGTCTGCATGCTGATGTATGGCTCCAAAACGCTCCCTCCTGCACGCATCCAATGACATGCAGCCGGAATGAAAGTTTGAAATAACTTCAGTTAGAGGTGAAAGTGCTGGGACAAAAAGCTTTAAGGATGAGCCGCTTCTAACACTATGTGCTCATTAGATCAGTGGCTGCAAACAGAAATCGTTTGTGCAGAAAAAAATAATGTTTTAAGGGTTGCAATAAGGACGCAGTGATAAGAAGGCTTTTGGAAAGCTTTGACCTGCTGATACCAAATCCAGCTGACTAGTAACCATACAGGAGAGAACAGGCAGTCAAAAACAGAACCGTATCATTATTTAATACACTTATTTGATATTTCAGATTGTTTTTAGCCTATTAGGATGACTTAGAGAACCAGTCATGTTCTCACTGTGTAACCCTGACCTCAGACCTCAGGTAAACCTTCCATGACACACCGAGTACTTTACAATCCTCCTTCCTGTTACCTTTAAGTCCTGCTCTCTCTTGTAGGATCCGACTGGATGGCCCCGTGAAAGGCCACCAACCATCACTTTGGGCCTTTTACACAATATCACACATATTATCACAGGTATTGTGAATAGATGTTAAAACATGTGAGCGGTTTTATGTCTTTTTTAAGATATCTATCAGCTGGAATAGAAAAAGAAAAAGCTTCCTGTCCCAGGACTTTAGTTTGACTCGACTAACTGAAAAGATTCATGTGGAGAAGTCACTAATAAGTGCAAATCGGTTCATTCACAAAAGCCCCAAAGATTCAACCTGCCTCTCTGTCCTTTTTAGGTCATCTCCCTGCCTTGTATCTGCTTAGACAATGTGCAAGTTTCCCCCATGGCTCCCTCTAGCCTCCTGCCCCCTGTCTCATTTGTCAGAGTTCTTGCGAGGCCGGCGGAAGCTGGACATGTTCTCGTTTAGTGCATAGATGCGCCTATTGAACTCCTCGAAGCCGGCCACGTCCAGCTCACCCAGCACCTGTTCGTCACACTCCACAGCTACTGCGTGGTCCACAGGAATGCAGCGGTAACCTTCCAGCTGGGCCTCATCTGTTAAGCCTAACCCCACCCCCAGGCCCAGACCTAAACCTGTGGCCTCTGTGCCCATGATCTCCTCAGCTTGCTCCACAGAGCAGTGCAGCTCTGGGACCAGGCCTACAGATGCCTGTCCTGATGCCAGGGAGCCGTTCATTGCACCTGTATGGTTACTTGAAACGGCTTCCTGTCCAGCTTCCTGTGATACAGAGGGAGCGGATGCCCCTGCACAGCTGCTCGGCCGCTCCTCAGATTCTTTTTGTTTGACTTCTTTGCTCTTCATGCCAGCGTCTTTATTTTTCTCCTCTCCATCTGGCTGCCCTCCCTGCTCCCCGTCCTCCTTGTTGGTCGCTGCAGTGGTGGTGAGGTGAAGTGAGGCCATGCTGGCATCAAGAGATGAGGACGCATGTTTGGATGCCGGCGAGGGCGGCGTCAGGTTAGCAGGAGGCTGCTCCTTCCCTGCGGCCACATTGTTGTTTGGAGAAGGCGTTGGCTTGTACTTGAGCTGTGCCTCGGCCTCCGAGCTCGCCCTCTTCCTCGGGCCGCGGTCGGGGGAACTGTTGTGGTGAGAGTAACCCGGTTCGGAGGCAGCGGACACGCCCAACTGGGACCTGCAGGGCACTGGAATCGAGCTGGAGATGTGATGTCGATCGCTGTTAAAATAACAGAAACAAATCTGATGAACAACAACAAAAGTAACTATGTGCAGCAAATGATTCTATAAACAGAACTGTTCTAAATGATTTATTTACGTTTTGGGGATTTTATTTGGATTTTAGGGGATTAACGAAGAAAAAAATGGGGAATTTCTTTAAATATTTTACAAATAAAAGTCTAAAATGCTTATTGTGCAAATTCATTTAAGCACTTCTACTTTAATACCCATAAATAGAAACCAGTGTAATCAATTACGTACTGCTGGCGGTTAACAAATTAGTAATTGGAGTCCATCTGTGCTTAATTTAATCTCAGTATTGATGTAGCTGTTCTGCGAGGGCCTCAGAGGTTTGTTAAGAGCGCTTTAAATTTGGAGGCAGTATTATGTTACCAAGATGCTTTTCTTCAGGGAGGCTGTATAATAGCATAATATGCATTGTTCCTGAACGTGAAACTACAGATCAGAGGTTTTCAAACTGAAGTCACTGAATTACACTGCTAAATAAAATAAGGTCATTGACAGGGAATAATCGCACACTGAGGAGGTTATTTAACCATTTGATTCAGATGTTTTGGACCAGAAAAACTGGGACTTGACTTAACTTTAGTCTGGGAGGCAGAAAATCTGTCTAAAACCAGGGTTACAACTTTCCTTTTGATAAAGCTTATTGTAGAGTTAGAGTGGCTCAGCTTATCCTGAGCTCTCTCTACATTTATGCTGCTATAGGCTTAGACTGCCGGAGGACATAGGGACCCCTTTATATCATTCAAGATTATTCCATCTCTATTCATCAATTCTGCAGTATGTGATCGTTTATGTTTTCTCTCCCATTTTTTTTTGTCACTGTAGCTTCATCTGGTCTGTTTTTTTTTTTAGCTGTGAGACAATCCTGTAGGGAGGCGTCAGCTGGGATGCTACATCAACAACTTCACTTATAGATGGATAGAATTGGGCTTCTTTTTCAGCGTTTAGTCCCGTTTCTCTCCTAGACACAGCTATGGGCTCAGCTTTTACTGTGATTAACTGGATGTGCTTTCTTTCATCCCTTTTGACATGAAAAGTGGCTGAGAGACGTGCACACGGAGAGTTTTTCCTCTCCACTCTCACTGCTGGCCGTGAGGAATTGCTGCAGAGTCAATGAGGATTTCTGCTGTCTCTACATGCTCATCCTGCAGGAGCAAATCCTGCAGAATCAATGACTCGATCCAATTAACCAAATTTCTTAGAAAACTTTTGAACCAATATGACTGAATGATCTGATTGAATGGACTCTGGTTTGTGAATTGAAACTTTTTAAACAAACCTAATAGAAACTAAATTTAACCTTGAGTTCATATTCATGCGTTTTAATGTTCCAGACCTGATTTTAGACCTAAAATCAGATCACTATCTGTAACAAAACTTTAAAACCTAACATACTGATGACATCCTCTGAGCTGAGGTGTTTTATAAAGAACAATCGGAAAAAATGTCCATATCTAAATGTGCAAAGGGCTTCCAGCTGTGAGTGTGTGCATCTGCTTGACCAAATTCCTTCCACGTCACAATTAAGCTTTACTTTGGTCTAAAAAGATGTTTTGGTTATAGTTACTTTGACAAATCATGGAGAGTTTAAGGGGTAGGAATACTACTTTTTACAAACTAAGGTTTATTAAAGAAACCAGGCAGCAGAAGAAAGTGAGATTTCCAGAGAGGGCTAACGCTTATCAGCACCTCCGCAGCCCAGCACCCAGCTACTTTGCTTCTAATCCGGGGGGCAGCTGCAGCTCTTTGTAAATCACTCCACTTTACAGCTTTCAGAAAGCATTTGTGCAGCCTCTAAGGCTTCTCTCATGTTCTCCTGACTGGAAGATCGCAGCAGGCATCCACCCAAGTATGTCAGATATTTTCTTCCAAAACAGATAACAGACTCGAGATCTGGGACACCCCACCCAGCCGCAGGACTGCAGTCATAAATCTATCTAAATGGGGGCCTCACTGCCTCTTCTAATAGCCAAGGCCATGTATAATTCTCTGGTCGGCTTAAGTGCTGTCTTCATTGTGACTCCATGCCATTTTACACATTTGCATGTGTTGGTTTAAGGCTTGAGGACAGGTCTCTGCTTGTTCAGTTGGACGTGCTGTCATAACAGATAACTCTCGAGTCGCCTGGCATTTACCTAGGAAGGCTAATTGGAAGAACGGAGAGCAGACATCAGCGTTAAGAGAACACGCTTTCATGGTTGGTTAGTCGGCGGCCTGATGGACGGTTTTATGACCGAACACATGACAGCTTGTCAAACGGACCCGGAGCCTGACCCCTGCAGACACCCCGCTGAGGTGGTCCTGACCGGGTTCACGGGCAGGACGTCCCACTGACGACAGGAGAGGCCTGTCTCGTGTTAAGAGAAACTTGTCAACTTCAAAGTGTGCGTGTTGCAGTCAAATTAGAACCATCCACCGCATAAAGGTACAGTACGGTCACAGAGTGAGGATTCAGCAAGGTATGAGTGACTTATCAGAGGGAAACAGATAAACATGTCTGAAGGTTAAGCAATGTCAGAGCTCTTAGAGGGGTTCTTCAACTCTGGACCGAGGAGTTGGACTGGGATTTACATGGCTGCACATAATAGCAGAAACACATCCTGCAATGCAGAAACTCCCCCCTACAAAGACTGGTTTCAATACTCCTGCAAAACTCAATTTATTAAAATGGAAATAGTGCTTTTATCATTTAACCACAGTGGAACATAAAACACAAAGGCTAAACCAAAACAAACCATTCTAAACTCTCTGAAGTCAGGCCGAAATATTCAGACCTTGTTTAGAGGAAAACAGTAAAAAATTATATATTTAAAGGTTTAAGGACGTCCTTTGGACTCTTTGAGACTTCAAAAAACTTGATAATTGGTAAATGTTTGACTCTTAAAGGTCCATAAAGTCAACATTTCACCAGGCAGTTTATTCCAAAAACAGATAGATTATTGCCACCAGTCGATTCCAATTAAATGGCGCCTTCAGAAGAACAACTATCCCCAGATCAACGTAACTTTTCCTAATAAACTGAATTCATTGATGTCTTATAGTACTGCCTCTATGTACCAGGCATTATTTTTGATTGTTTATTTGTTGCAATCAAACTTTAGTATCCTAAACTGTCTGTTTGTTGCCCTCTTCATGTTTAACAATGGTACTGTATCTGTATCTTTTTATCAATATTGGTGATGGCTAATAAAATATTGTGACATCACCCAGAAAAACTGAAAACAGTAGCTCTGCTGTAAACTTTCTATCAATTTTCTATGGTGGCCCTGAAGGGCAAACTGAAACTACAAATCTAAAAGCACAACTACCATTAAAGAAATCGCAACTACATAAAGCAAAGCGCAACTACATTAAGGAAAACACAATTACATTAACCTACCGGAAAGTTCAAGGGTCAAATGGCGCCGTCGTCCAATCAGCGATGTCTCATGTTTCCCACTGGTACCTACCTTTTCCGCTAGGTTAATGTAATTGTGTTTTCCTTAATGTAGTTGCGCTTTGCTTTATGTAGTTTTGTTTTTCTTTATGTAGTTGCGCTTTGCTTTATGTAGTTTTGTTTTTCTTTATGTAGTTGCGCTTTGCTTTATGTAGTTTTGTTTTTCTTTATGTAGTTGCGCTTTGCTTTATGTAGTTGCGATTTCCTTAAATGTAGTTGAGTTTTAGATTTGTAGTTGCAGTTTGTACTTCAGGGCCACCATAATTTTCAGGGTTTATAAATGTTTTATTGGCTTAGCAGTCAGCTGGATTATTTAGCATTTGTTTAGCTTGCTAAAACACATCCAGGTTTATGGTCACATGGTCACTACCTATATAACGCCCACTTTTAGAATTGAGAGGAATAAGGATCTGGAACGGGATGAGTTGAGCTTTAAAGTTATTTAATGTAAAATAACCAAGTTAAATGTAATTGCTTGAAGCATCTTAGATTTTGAGTCAAATCCTTTATAATAGAAACAAAATTTTCCCCTGACAGGAGAACTAAGCTTAGAAAACTGGAAATGTTCCCATAGCAACAAAGCTTTGCCACTCTGGGAGAATGAGCCATGTCTCCTATGTGAAAACAGCCACAGATAGCAGCGTAACCGAGAAGACTGGGTGTGTTGGTGAGGACCTCGGGCAAACAAACTTCAAGCCAGTCATAACATCTTCTGTTTTAAACCATTTTAATGGTTATAAAGATGGGATATTTTGTTTAAATGTGGATAATTTGGCCACACAGGGAGAAGCTTGTGTGCATATTACAAATGCTGAAAACACAATGCTGTTTACACAAATATCTCCTTGAAAAACATTTACAATTATGAAGTTCAAAATAACTTTCATTTAGAAGAAATGCCATATTCGAAAGGCAGGAAATTGTATTAGTAACAATTCTGATAAATCATTTGAAATTTAATCAAATATATCAAAAAGTTAGATTCTTCCTTACATAATTTTAATAACTTCAGTAATTATTTCTAAAAGTACATGATGAAAAACAAAACTGGAGGATCAAAAAAGAAGATATGCATACAATGCTATTCTGTCTAAAGGAACTTTAGCAGCTAGCAGAGCACAAGACAGAAAAAAAATTAAATGGCTTTTCCTTATGGATAAAGTTTAGGTTTTATTCTTGTCTACCTTTAAGGCTAGGCTGAAAACTTCTCTTTTTAAAGCGTAGAGATAGAGTGGTGCATGATATCTAGAGCTCTCTCTATAGTTATGCTGCTATAGGCTTAGGCCACTGGAGGACCAAAACACCACTTTTCCTAACTCTGCTAAATTCTTCTTCGTTTCTCCAATTCTGCAATATTCTTTAGTTCTACCCATAACTTTGTGTTCTCTCTGCCTCTCCTCATCATAGTAGCTTGATCTGTTCTGGTTATCGGTGACACCATCCTGCCGGGAGGCATCACTGGGTTCCTGCCTAAATCAACTAAATCAACTTCCTCTTTTGAAACAAGCGTTTATTTTCTAGATAGAGCAGCCTTT